CATATCTCATTCTGTTAGTCACGCCTGCACCATCAGTGCCATGGTTCAGACCAGCTGACACTGCCATATGTGTGTGGAGCTTTAGGAATGTCTTACTCTGGTAAAAGCAGAGCTAAACTGGGTTAAATGTGACACAGAAAGCAACAACTGTGAATTTTTTTCTTCTTCCCCAGAGTACTAAAAGACCCCAAAAGATTACACTTTCTCTGACCCTTCAAAAGACTATCATGAAATAAGTGTAGGCTGTAGGATAACTGAAAGTGAGGTTGGGGGTTGCCACAAAGTCTGCGGATGGCACCTGCCGTCTCTGGGGGTATTAGTATATGGTTAAGACAGTAGGGTATTTTCAGCCCTGTGATAGATTAGTGCTTCCCTTGAGCAAATGTTTTCACATACAGCTCACATTGCTCAGGGGAGATCATGGAGATCTCACTTGAGTCTCATTCAAGCATTCAAGACTTGATTTGCAGCCTTCAGTATTTGGTCAAATCTGAACAGTTTTTTGAACATTGTTGAGAGAGAGAGAGATGTGAGATTAGGAGAAAGCAGTGTCCATTTACTCTCCATTTAATTTAATCTCATTGCTTCTCTATGTAGTGGAAACAAATGTTAACTCTCTCCAGGTGGACAGTCTAGGAAGTTCAGATAGGAATGCGCAGACTAAAAAGCATTCATGCATGTCCTAAATGAGGTGAGGAAGTACATTAGCAGACACACATAAAAGCTGCATGGGTAAATGATAAGAGAAGTAACCAAATCTGCAGCTCTGTTAAAGACATCAATAGACCTCCTATAAATGCCACCCAGAAAACTGACTTCCCACCAACAGACTTTGATCTGGAGGACTGAATCCCAACAACCCGGTCAACTGGAACTCAAATATCCAATGCGCCATGAGTATCCAGATTTCTGCTGGTTGATATTATGTTATATGTCAATATGTAATAGAAATGATGACAATTAAATATACACAATAATGCATCAAATAAATGAAAATTATTTTAGGATATGTACGCAAAATTCACAAACAAAATATCTGAAAACAGAAAAAGTAGAAAGGGCTGACAGTAATTTTTGGAGGTGACACTAGTTGAAATGGCCACTTTTGTTAAGGTATTGATGCCGATAGTCTCAAAATAGCAAATTATCGGTTACCAGATTGAACAATACAGATCTATCGCTACTTTGAACCAAACTGAATTCACCTAAACTTGTCTTTCGATGCAAATATTTGCATGTTTATTTGTCTGTGTGTGTTCAGAGACTGTTCAAATAGTCAAAACATGTAAAAGTGGTTTGGAAACTGAGTTCTGAAATACAAGAGTAAACAACTTATACTGAGTCTAATGTAGTACTACACTAGCAGAATAGAGAATTCAGGCTGCTCTAAGATTAGTGTGCTCTAACAGGCTCTGTGCATGCCTGTGATGTCCAGCATTCTGCATGGGCTGCTCAGAGGCGTGCCATCAGGAAACAGCTCCACCGCTGCGCCCATGAGGAAATCAAAGAACTATGACAGCCATCGCTGCTATTTAAGATTTTTATATGGTTATGAATTATTGTTGCATTCTTAAATGAGATGTTCTTAGTCATAGTCTTAGTAATTTGTCATACAGGGTCCAAAATGAACACTTACAGAGCGTCAAATGCATATTTAATATTCGGTGAGTACTGGCCAGTTTACACGTTTTTTTTATTATTTTTTTTTTTTTTAAGGAATTGCATCATAATACTTCAGAATGTAAAAATGATAGTTTGGACATTATCCAACTTTTTTATTATTAAAATAAATAAACAAACAAATACATTTGAGGAACAAAACCACAATGTGATTTTTTTTCGTTTCTTTTTTTTGTGAAAATAAAAATGTCAACATGTGCATGTTGAAAGTGACATAATGACATGTTTGCTGCTAAAGTTAAAGCAGCTAAATAAACCATTTGAAACAAAATACCCTTGTGAAAAAGAAGTAAACTTTAGCATACTTTTAAAAAGACTGCTTATGGAAATAATATACTTCAAAAGAATATACTTAAGTGAAAACTGAATGTAATGTTTTAAAACACTTAATCACTTTAATTGCAATTAAATTAAATTGATTATAGTTTAAATTTATATTAAATGCAGTTAGTTGAACTTTAGAGTGCTTTTTTGACCCACTTAACTATATCTTAATTATATTGTTAAATTTGTACAATTATTTATATTGTCTTTGAAATATGGTTAAACTGATAAGCATTTATGGTAAACTAAAATATACTTTAATGTAATTTCTACTTAAAATATGTATATCATATATTTAATTATGTTTATAATCACAGAATTGTAATGATGAAGTTGCAATTTAGTACTTTTAAAATAATATGAACTTAAATGTAATATTGAATAAGTTCAAATTATTATCAAGTTCACATGTCATCAACACATCAAAACGAAAGATTATTAAAACATGATTTATAATGTACTCTGAAAACTTTTAATTTACATTTTTACATTACTACAAGTGCACTGTCAATACAATTAAGTGCCCTTCTTTTCTTCAAGGGTATCCTATATACAGTATTATAATAAATATAGTTTCATAGATGTAGTATTAATAGAAGTATTTATGGCTGGCGAATTTCAATTTCAATTTACTCACCAGTGACAGGTGTGGTAAACGGTTCATTTTAGACCCTGATAGCACAGCAATTTATTACTCAAAGCCATTTACGCAATGTTAATTCTTCCTACATTCATCTTTGGCAAACACCTACAGTTACATAGTTCTTGTAGTTTCATAAATCAGTCGGTCCATATTGAGAATTTTTCAGTTTGACACACATCGTGTCAGTGTATGTGAGAATTCTGTCACTGTGTGTGGAATTTTGTCACTAAAGCACATTTAGCAGCTGACCTCTAACCTCTGACCTCACTCAGGTGCAGGCAAAAAAGAGTGTGTTTCAGAGTGACAGACCTTTGATGTTGAAAACTGAGCCTGTTCTCTTGCTAAACAGCTGCATGAGTGTGTGTGTGTGTGTGTGTGCACACGTCTTGTATATGTTTGTCAATGCAAAAAGAGGGGTGAGAGAAACAAGAAATGTAAGTTAGGTTCACTCCACCCCCACAGGCCTTCAAAGCACTTTGGATTGCATTTTGGAGTCGCCACTTTGTGGAAGCACTTTGAATCTGGAACAAGAGTCAAAACTGCAGCCGTACAATAAAATGACAAACTAGTATTAACATATGGATTTTCAATCAAGAACAATCAAGGATTTTAATGCAATCCAAATTAATTTGGTTGTCTAATACAGGATTTTCTGCAGTAAACCCCTAGTGGTTTGTGATAGAAGTGCAGGTTTGTGAGATTGTGAAAATGACAACCTTTGTGTCACTTTATCATACTTTTTCTTAAAAGTGTGCAAATAGTTCACTTTGAAAGAATATACTTAAGTGCAAACTGAATGTAATGCTTTCCGATGCTTGATTGCATGATATTTACAATTACATGAAAATGTATTATAGTTTAAATTGACATAAAATACAATTAGTTGTACAAACCCAATTCCAAAAAAGTTGGGACACTGTACAAATTGTGAGTAAAAAAGGAATGGAATAATTTACAAATCTCATAAACTTATATTTTATTCACAATAGAATATAGATAACATATCAAATGTTGAAAGTGAGACATTTTGAAATGTCATGCCAAATATTGGCTCATTTTGGATTTCATGAGAGCTACACATTCCAAAAAAGGTGGGACAGGGTGTTTAAGTGGAGCAGTTTGCAGATGGGCAGACTGACACCTAGAACCAATGAAAGGTCACGGCAGTACTGCATATCTATAATTCCCACTAAAAGACTTCACTGGTAGTGTGAAAATACATACTTTCAACCTCACCACTGTGTCATATACTCTCTTGTGAAAAATAAGCACACTTTAGCATAGTTTAAAAAAAAAGTTCTTATACAGAAATAATATACTTGAAAATTACAAGTATGAATTGAATGTAATGTGTTCATACAATTAAAGGGATAGTTCACCCAAAAATTAAAATTCTGTCACTCACCCTCCACTTTTTCCAAACCTGTACAAGTTTTTTTCTTCTGTTGGACATAAAAGAAGATATTTTGAAGAATGATGGTAACCAAACTGTTGGTGGTAGCCATTGACTTCCATAGTATTTTTTTTTTCCTTCCATATTATGGAAGTCAATGTATACCATTATATTTATTCTCCCTATTAAGTACCATGCAAAGCATGCTGGGAACTACAGTTTCAGTTATGTCACCATCAAAAAGTATTTGAAAATGATATTTACTGTGGTCAATATTATATATTTCTTAATATCACCATAAACAATAGCTAAATAAGCAATAATATAAAATTACAAATTTCACCTAAGATTTTGTTAGTCAATGTTTCATTTATTGTTCTCACTATAAAGACAAATCATGATTTTCAATTAGATGAATATAAAAAGGTACTTTAAATAAATAACATGGTTGGTTTATTTTTTCACTGCAGGTAATGCGTCACCTTGACACAAATTCAAATTTAAAAAAAAAGAAAAAATCACAGGAAAATCATTCGAGCGCTAATCCTCATGTTGTTTACTATTTAGGATGGATATTATGTGTCCTTCTTCAGTGGTCTGTTTGTCTTTGTGTTTGTTTCATTTTTCATGTTCTCTTCATTGGAGGTATATAATTCTCACTGAATGGGTCGTGGATTTTCTAACCTAGAAGTTGTGGGGTGTGTCCATGCCATGGGAGAGTGTTGTGGGGGCTGGGATCACAGCCTCTTCAGGCGGCCCTGCACACATGTGCTGTCACTCAACCTCCCTGCACAGACAGCCCAGACTGAGAGACAAGGAACAAGAGCTTCTAGTAGCCTGGAGACGCCTGTGTTCCTGTCTTGTTGCAGACTTTGCTTGGACACTGATGTTCAAGTCTCTAGTGTTTTATTGTTCGGCCGTGGTTTATTGTGAACAGTAAGGATGATGAAAAACCAGATGATGAAGGCAGTGACGGTCCTGGGTGCACTGCTGGCCGTTGTGTGTCAGGTGAGTTGAGCTTTATATATTAAGTGAATGCTGTGGATTTTAACTCCAGGCTAAGTTAAAGATACAAAGCGATAAGCCCAATGAGGTTACTATTCAAGAACTATTTTTTCCATGAGTAATATGGTATTTTATAGTATATATAAAAAATCATTTTTTGAAGTTTCGAAGAAAAAATAAGTAAAACAAGGTTAATTGGAGCACATTTTAAAAGAAAATACTATTTCAGTTGTTCTAATTCAAAATGTCACGTTTAGTTCAATTAGAATGTTTTTTTTGTGTAATTTACTATTTTTTTCCGTGTGTGCATGACAACACTTTAAAATGATATCAAATGTAATATTTAAATACAAGAATCATTCAGTAATACATAATTATTTACTAAATAATATAATTAATTAGCCTGTACAGTTAATTAAGCTGTACAGAAGCAACCTGACACATAATAGAGAATTGCAATGGAAAGCAGTTGTGGACTTGCATTGTGCTTTATTTATTTGCAATGCTATGTAATTTGATTAGTGTTGGTTTATCTTGTTGGCTAAAGATTCAGTGTTTAAGAACTTGTTACAGTTTTGACCTTGGGGCACATCTGCTAAAATCGTCTTTAGTGGTATAGTGTTTGGTAATTGATTGTTAACTTTGTCTTCAACTGGCTGAACTTACCAGCCGTCAGTTGTATTATATTGTTGGTGGAAATGAATGATCTAAACACGTGTCATTTCAGATAAATTGAATGATGACAGCTAATGAAAACTACGAAAAGAAATGCAGCTGGTTTTAACCTCATTTGACGTTACGTTTCAAGGCCCCCTTTGGTCTGTCACTAGTGTAATCATGAAGACAACGAATGAGAATGCAAACAAAGTCACACTGCCATAAATATTCGCCACAATCACTGATCAGAACTGTTTAGATTTGCAATAGGACACAGATTCTAAAATGAGAGATTTGTCCTGTAGTTGCACTCATGGGCAAGCTTTCATCATGCTATACATAAACAGGAGAAAGGTTGCTAGTGGCCGCCATGTTATTTATGGGCAATTCAAGAACAATTGTTCTAAGTTACTTAGGCTTCATGTTTGAAGATACTTTGGCCTTTTGATTTAATCCAACCCCTTTTCCAAAGTACTAGAAATTAGCATTAGAAAAGAAAAATGAGATTTATACATAAATAAGCTTTCCATTGATGTATGGTTTGTTAGGATAGGACAATATTTGGCCGAGATACCACTATTTGAAAATCTGAGGGTTCAAAAAAATCTATATATTGAGAAAATCGCCTTTAAAGTTGTCCAAGTGAAGTCCTTAGCAATGCACATTACTAATCAAAAACGAAGTTTTTATATATTTACGGTAGGAAATTTACAAAATATCTTCATGGAACATGATCTTTACTTAATATCCTAATGACCCAATGTATTTTTGGCTATTGCTACAAATATCCCTGTGTAACTTAAGACTGTGTCCAGGGTCACATATGTACATTTAATGCATTTCCTTTCCTCAACTGATGTAACAATACAGAGAGAATGTGCAATACATTACATATCATGGGGCAAGAAAATATCAGCGCATGCAATGCCCGTGCATGCTAATGTTGGTGTTGTACGTTTCCTCCAAATCATTGTCTCGACTTGATAGTTTTCTTTCATTCCTTTCATCAGTGCTGCTGGTGATTCATGACTTTTTGTGGCTTTTTGTGGCTCTGGACCCACTGGAAAAAGTGAATGTATGCCACATAAAATAACTTAATCTGCTAAAATTCTGTGGTGATCAGGCAGGGAGTGCTAGGAATTCCCAAAGCTCATATCCCAGGAGAGGCTTATGCCTCACTGAGAGTATAGTGGGGTGCATTGAGATTCACACTTGCCTCTGGTGGTGTGGTCTTGGTATGACTGTGTGCAGCTGTTCCCAGATGTAGACTCAACCCCATTTGTCTCACATGGTAATCTTGGCTGCGGAAATAAGAGGACAACACTCCCTGGCCATGCAATGAGCGAAAAAAAATTGTTAATAAAGCAGCCAGTGTTGAGTTCATGCACTAGCCGAGCTGGTGAATAGTCAGTCTAACTGGCAACTTTGGGTTTCTTTTAGTCCCAGACATTCTGATACCAGTTAATAGTGAAAATCTATGTCTACTGCTGTGCCTTCCCTGTTAACCTTAATCCTAGATAAGGAAACCAAAACTGGACAGTGATAATTGAACATTATAATTGTCACTGCCTGTTTAAATTAGCGTGACATGACAGCATGGCCTGGTTATGAAGATTCCATCACTGACATGTTCCTGGCTGATAGCAGATCAGTTGAAAGAAAGAAAGAAAGAAAGAAAGAAAGAAAGAAAGAAAGAAAGAAAGAAAGAAATTGTATTGAATGTTCCCTTGTAGTGTACTTTAATTTTATCTTAAAAGTATATATATTTTTTTAAATGTACTTGCAGATAATAGAATGAAATGAAATAAAAGACCATTAAAGTGTTAAATTTCTTAAACACTTAAGTACACTTTTAAGTAGTGCAATTTTTTATAATGTCAAATTAAAAGTTTCACTTTTAAGTACATTTTAAATAACTGTTTCAATCATCTTTTATCGTGGTTTAAAGAAGTACACTTATTTCGATGAGTTGACTAACATGCTAAACATGCACTTGTACTAAATTAATTTTAACTGTAGTGTGTTATTTCAAATTGCATTTAAAATGAATATATTTCAAGTGTATTAAATTGCATCATCATTACAAATGTGTAATTACACATTATTTAAATACATGACATCCAAGTTCCCGTAGAAATGACATTAAAGTATATTTTAGATTAGAAAGAAAGAAGGAGATGACCTTGGACACAAGGCACTTACTAGATCTAGTGAGGAATGACATGACAGAACGTGACCATCTGTGTGACTCCTCCAACCTCTCATCCAGCTCTGCATTCGGTCATGCTATACTGTCTCTCACACACACACAGGATCACACATGTACAAAGTCACATGCCCACACCAGTTACCCAAGATAAACTAAATTTGGGATCTAATCATACCATTCATCCAAGAATTATGAGGTTAATATATACATGCAGGTTTTTATCCACAACGCTAATTTTAGTCTCTAAGTAGCCAAGTCATTTTATTTATTTATTTAATTTTTGTAAATAGTTTTTGTTAGAATTTAGGCTTCTAGACAAAAAAAAAACACTAAAACTAGTTCAAAACTCTGTTGGACACACATGCGTAGGCCTAATGTGTTCCACACTCACTTAGTTCTTTCTCCTCCTCAGAAATGTAGCATATCTCATTCTGTTAGTCACGCCTGCACCATCAGTGCCATGGTTCAGACCAGCTGACACTGCCATATGTGTGTGGAGCTTTAGGAATGTCTTACTCTGGTAAAAGCAGAGCTAAACTGGGTTAAATGTGACACAGAAAGCAACAACTGTGAATTTTTTTCTTCTTCCCCAGAGTACTAAAAGACCCCAAAAGATTACACTTTCTCTGACCCTTCAAAAGACTATCATGAAATAAGTGTAGGCTGTAGGATAACTGAAAGTGAGGTTGGGGGTTGCCACAAAGTCTGCGGATGGCACCTGCCGTCTCTGGGGGTATTAGTATATGGTTAAGACAGTAGGGTATTTTCAGCCCTGTGATAGATTAGTGCTTCCCTTGAGCAAATGTTTTCACATACAGCTCACATTGCTCAGGGGAGATCATGGAGATCTCACTTGAGTCTCATTCAAGCATTCAAGACTTGATTTGCAGCCTTCAGTATTTGGTCAAATCTGAACAGTTTTTTTGAACATTGTTGAGAGAGAGAGAGATGTGAGATTAGGAGAAAGCAGTGTCCATTTACTCTCCATTTAATTTAATCTCATTGCTTCTCTATGTAGTGGAAACAAATGTTAACTCTCTCCAGGTGGACAGTCTAGGAAGTTCAGATAGGAATGCGCAGACTAAAAAGCATTCATGCATGTCCTAAATGAGGTGAGGAAGTACATTAGCAGACACACATAAAAGCTGCATGGGTAAATGATAAGAGAAGTAACCAAATCTGCAGCTCTGTTAAAGACATCAATAGACCTCCTATAAATGCCACCCAGAAAACTGACTTCCCACCAACAGACTTTGATCTGGAGGACTGAATCCCAACAACCCGGTCAACTGGAACTCAAATATCCAATGCGCCATGAGTATCCAGATTTCTGCTGGTTGATATTATGTTATATGTCAATATGTAATAGAAATGATGACAATTAAATATACACAATAATGCATCAAATAAATGAAAATTATTTTAGGATATGTACGCAAAATTCACAAACAAAATATCTGAAAACAGAAAAAGTAGAAAGGGCTGACAGTAATTTTTGGAGGTGACACTAGTTGAAATGGCCACTTTTGTTAAGGTATTGATGCCGATAGTCTCAAAATAGCAAATTATCGGTTACCAGATTGAACAATACAGATCTATCGCTACTTTGAACCAAACTGAATTCACCTAAACTTGTCTTTCGATGCAAATATTTGCATGTTTATTTGTCTGTGTGTGTTCAGAGACTGTTCAAATAGTCAAAACATGTAAAAGTGGTTTGGAAACTGAGTTCTGAAATACAAGAGTAAACAACTTATACTGAGTCTAATGTAGTACTACACTAGCAGAATAGAGAATTCAGGCTGCTCTAAGATTAGTGTGCTCTAACAGGCTCTGTGCATGCCTGTGATGTCCAGCATTCTGCATGGGCTGCTCAGAGGCGTGCCATCAGGAAACAGCTCCACCGCTGCGCCCATGAGGAAATCAAAGAACTATGACAGCCATCGCTGCTATTTAAGATTTTTATATGGTTATGAATTATTGTTGCATTCTTAAATGAGATGTTCTTAGTCATAGTCTTAGTAATTTGTCATACAGGGTCCAAAATGAACACTTACAGAGCGTCAAATGCATATTTAATATTCGGTGAGTACTGGCCAGTTTACACGTTTTTTTTATTATTTTTTTTTTTTTTAAGGAATTGCATCATAATACTTCAGAATGTAAAAATGATAGTTTGGACATTATCCAACTTTTTTATTATTAAAATAAATAAACAAACAAATACATTTGAGGAACAAAACCACAATGTGATTTTTTTTCGTTTCTTTTTTTTGTGAAAATAAAAATGTCAACATGTGCATGTTGAAAGTGACATAATGACATGTTTGCTGCTAAAGTTAAAGCAGCTAAATAAACCATTTGAAACAAAATACCCTTGTGAAAAAGAAGTAAACTTTAGCATACTTTTAAAAAGACTGCTTATGGAAATAATATACTTCAAAAGAATATACTTAAGTGAAAACTGAATGTAATGTTTTAAAACACTTAATCACTTTAATTGCAATTAAATTAAATTGATTATAGTTTAAATTTATATTAAATGCAGTTAGTTGAACTTTAGAGTGCTTTTTTGACCCACTTAACTATATCTTAATTATATTGTTAAATTTGTACAATTATTTATATTGTCTTTGAAATATGGTTAAACTGATAAGCATTTATGGTAAACTAAAATATACTTTAATGTAATTTCTACTTAAAATATGTATATCATATATTTAATTATGTTTATAATCACAGAATTGTAATGATGAAGTTGCAATTTAGTACTTTTAAAATAATATGAACTTAAATGTAATATTGAATAAGTTCAAATTATTATCAAGTTCACATGTCATCAACACATCAAAACGAAAGATTATTAAAACATGATTTATAATGTACTCTGAAAACTTTTAATTTACATTTTTACATTACTACAAGTGCACTGTCAATACAATTAAGTGCCCTTCTTTTCTTCAAGGGTATCCTATATACAGTATTATAATAAATATAGTTTCATAGATGTAGTATTAATAGAAGTATTTATGGCTGGCGAATTTCAATTTCAATTTACTCACCAGTGACAGGTGTGGTAAACGGTTCATTTTAGACCCTGATAGCACAGCAATTTATTACTCAAAGCCATTTACGCAATGTTAATTCTTCCTACATTCATCTTTGGCAAACACCTACAGTTACATAGTTCTTGTAGTTTCATAAATCAGTCGGTCCATATTGAGAATTTTTCAGTTTGACACACATCGTGTCAGTGTATGTGAGAATTCTGTCACTGTGTGTGGAATTTTGTCACTAAAGCACATTTAGCAGCTGACCTCTAACCTCTGACCTCACTCAGGTGCAGGCAAAAAAGAGTGTGTTTCAGAGTGACAGACCTTTGATGTTGAAAACTGAGCCTGTTCTCTTGCTAAACAGCTGCATGAGTGTGTGTGTGTGTGTGTGTGTGCACACGTCTTGTATATGTTTGTCAATGCAAAAAGAGGGGTGAGAGAAACAAGAAATGTAAGTTAGGTTCACTCCACCCCCACAGGCCTTCAAAGCACTTTGGATTGCATTTTGGAGTCGCCACTTTGTGGAAGCACTTTGAATCTGGAACAAGAGTCAAAACTGCAGCCGTACAATAAAATGACAAACTAGTATTAACATATGGATTTTCAATCAAGAACAATCAAGGATTTTAATGCAATCCAAATTAATTTGGTTGTCTAATACAGGATTTTCTGCAGTAAACCCCTAGTGGTTTGTGATAGAAGTGCAGGTTTGTGAGATTGTGAAAATGACAACCTTTGTGTCACTTTATCATACTTTTTCTTAAAAGTGTGCAAATAGTTCACTTTGAAAGAATATACTTAAGTGCAAACTGAATGTAATGCTTTCCGATGCTTGATTGCATGATATTTACAATTACATGAAAATGTATTATAGTTTAAATTGACATAAAATACAATTAGTTGTACAAACCCAATTCCAAAAAAGTTGGGACACTGTACAAATTGTGAGTAAAAAAGGAATGGAATAATTTACAAATCTCATAAACTTATATTTTATTCACAATAGAATATAGATAACATATCAAATGTTGAAAGTGAGACATTTTGAAATGTCATGCCAAATATTGGCTCATTTTGGATTTCATGAGAGCTACACATTCCAAAAAAGGTGGGACAGAAACATTTGATATGTCATCTATGTTGTATTCTGAATAAAATATTGACATTTGAAACTTCCACATCATTGCATTCTGTTTTTATTCACAATTTGTACAGTGTCCCAACTTTTTTGGAATCGGGTTTGTACTTACAAGTGCTTTTTTGACCCACTCAAGTAAGACTTAAGTACATCTGCATATGTACTGTAATTTCATCATTTCTATTGAGAATGGTATGTCATGGTTTTAATACATATTTGTAATGAAATTAAAAATATTTTAACTTTAAGTGTAATATTAATACACTACAGTTAAAAGTACAGTATTTTACATGTCAACACATCAAAATAAGTGTAGGCCTACTTCTTAAGTGTAAGTGTGAAATGAAAATGTACTCTTATTAAGCACACTGAAGTGGCCTTTTATTTTATTAGTATTATAATACCTAAAAGTACAGTTTTGTGGAAATATTCCATATATTAAATATAAAATAAGTTAGAAGTGCACATTCAATACAATTAAGCACTTCTTTTCCACAAGGGAATGCTGAATTAAATAAAATTAAAATGCATAATTTAATGATTAATGTATAAACGAATGTATAAAAAACACTGGCTTGAAAAATACTTAAGTCAGAATGCAAAGGTACTTTTGAGTCCTTAATGGAGAAAGATTTCTTTTTAATGACATCAGCCAGCAGGGGCATTATTTTGGCAGTTTATTGACATTAGTGGCACATAAATGATTCAGATGTAGAAAGACTGCAGTGGATTGTGTGCATGTGACTGAAGAGCATCCAGATTCAGTACTGCTCCATGTGTTTTGTTGCAGGTCAGCAGCAGTGGTCAGGTAACACAGAGCGATCTGAACCCAGCTGTGCTGCACCCATGGAGACACAGGAGTGCAGGTCCACAGGTCAGGGTCAAGAGAGACTGGATCATTCCACCAATCCGAGTATCAGAAAACAGCAAGCAGGTCCCTGAAGATCTGGTCCAGGTAAACAAACAGCCCACTATTAGTTGTTCAATATAGATCTGAAAAAGAAAGACATTTCACTAAATCATACTTATTGAAGCTAGAGGCATTTTTTATTAATATAACTATCCAATGATATAATTTGAACTTTTATGAGAGTCATATTATTCTGGTTTAGAACATCGACAAAAATATCACAAAGAACAACATTTTTAAAATATATGCAATACAGCAAAATAAAAGAATTAGCAAGGCCCTGTGTGTAACACACACATGGTAAATATCTGGTAAAACATGAAACATATCCTCACACTCTGTGAGTAGATAAGCTGTTTAACATACAGCTGTAACATGTTCCATGTCCGATCTCTCACAGATCAAATCAGACAAGGTTTTCACCGGGGAGGTGATATACATGCTGGAGGGACCCGGGGTTGACCAGGACCCCAAAGGCCTCTTTGAAATTGATGAAAAAACAGGATGGATCAAGAGCAAAATGCCACTGGACAGGGAAAAACACAAGAGTTTTAAGGTAAACATGTTTGTTGAAATTGTGTTTTTATAATGAAGTCATGTACAGAGGGAAGCAAAAGTCAGTGGAAAGCTTCTATTTGCATTTTTTGTTCCAAATTAAATAACTGTGATCAAGAAATAGTGCATATTAATATCCATAACTTGATATTTAAATATTTTTTACTCATTTACATCATGAAATTTCTTTCTGTTGAATTATTCACAATTCTCATACTGTTTTATCCTGATTTAAATTGATTTATGAGCCCCACAGTACAGGTCACAGATAAGAGACTCTAACGCGAAGCTTGATTAATTATGTGGTATTGCTGAATAACTTATGAGTAAAATATCCTCAGCTCAAAGCTTTTGCACTGTCCCCAAGTGGAGAGAGACTGGAAAGTCCCAGCACCATTGAAATTTACGTTCTAGATCAGAATGACCACAGGCCTGAATTTACCCAGAAGGAGTTCAACGGCACTATTCCTGAATTCTCTGTTCCAGGTAAGATATGCACAACAGCATTTCAAAACTTATTTTAAGAAATAAAATAAACATGTTATATTAAAAAAAGAAAACACTATCACATCAATGCAATGAATACTTCATCCAAGAAACGAAAATTATATCATCAACTTAATTTCCATCGAATCATGTATGATTTTCTCTCCTCAAATTAAGTTATTTAGCAAAATGTCTAGGCTGTTCTATTCTATGTTCCACATTGCATGTTCAAAATACATGCAAGACCCAATGAAGTTTATGCACAATGCCTTGTTATTTGGTGTCGAGTGCACTGTATTTCTGGTTGTAAGCAAACAAAGACATTCTTGCATATCATAAATGTATCATGATCTCACCAAGAGGACATGACTATTTTTTTAAGTAACAAGATTTTGTTCTTTTTCTCACACAAAGCTATCACATTGAATTAGAAGACTTGGAATATTACACAAGTCATACAGATCACTTTTATAGTACATTATGTAGTACCTTTGCCCTTTTTGGAACTTGGCAGTCAGGGTCACCATCCACTTTCATTGCATGGCAGTTCTGTTAAACAGCTTCTTTCATATTCTACAGACATGTGAGGGAGAGTACAGAATTTAGATTTTTGAGTGAACTATCTCCTTAAGTCAGGCAGTCAGCGTACACATGCATAAACATAATAAACTTTTTGTGTGTTTCTCGTTCATCAGGAACTTCAGTGATGCAGGTTACAGCGATAGATTCTGATGATCCACTGACAGAAAACGCAGCTCTGAGCTACTTCATCATTGGACAAGATAGTTTCCCTCCCCACAGCATTAACAAGACCATGTTTGGCATTAATAACAAAACTGGAGTCATCTACACTCGAGATGTGGGACTAGACAGAGATGTAGGTTATTTCCCTCTAAAATGTCTTAAATAAACAGCATAGACATAAAAATACTGATTTCAAAGTCTGAACAAAGAAAGTAGTAACATGCCCTGATGTGTTGTCAGGTGGTGCAGTCCTTTAGGCTGACTCTGCAGGTGGCTGACATGTCTGGAGTGGGCCTAACCTCCACCGGTCGTGCCATCATTCACATCTCTGACATTAACAACCATGCTCCGAAATTCCATCCTACCACAGTATGTAAAAAACAAACAACTGAAAACATGCACAGTCTGTGATGTTCACTTGATTATTGTTTTCTGAGCTCTTGATCCAATTCTGTTACTGCAGTACATCATGAATGCAATGGAAAACAAGTACATTGCGGAGTTGGGCAGGGTCAATGCAACAGATAAGGACCAGAAAGGTGGAGATAACTGGAGGATTAAGTACACCATCGTAAATCCTTCAGGGCACTTTGCCATCCGCACAGACCCAGTTTCCAACCAAGGCATCATTTATGTGGTTAAGGTGAGATTACTGCCACAAATGTGGTAAATTAAAGACTGCGGCCATGGGACTACCAAAATCAGTTACTGGCCATTTTCAGCTGGCAAACCAAGCTTGTGATTGTGTTTCTTATTATTTGTACACTACATTTCAAATACAACGTCTCTACTCTCTTGCAGACACTAGACTATGAATCCCAGGCAGAGTACCAGCTCATTGTCAAAGCAGAGAATGAAGTCAGGCTTAAAGCACCATACGAGCAAATACAGAGTGCTACAGTCACCGTCAGAGTGATGAATGAAAACGAGGCCCCAGTCTTCTATAAAAACCCCATTAAAGTGACTGTTGCAGAGTCCACTGTTCCCGGGACTGTCCTGGTCTCAGATATTGCTCATGATCCAGATAATTCCAAGCTAAGGTGAGGCTCACTTATCTGTACCATCATTCCACACACAATTTTATACTGGACAGCACAATGAAGCCATGTAGGAGATGTTCTTGGATCAACATCCTTTGTTAGTCCGTGAACAGCATTCTTATCAAGCAATCATGTGCAAAATCCTGTCCAAAAGCTTGACCATAACCTACCCATGAAATCCTAAAAAAAGGATTGATTGATTGATAAGAATGTTATTAACTCAAAACATGAATCAGTACACTTAAGTGTACATAAGTGTAAAAAGTGCACTTTGTAATAATGTCAAATTAAAAGTACATTTTAAATGATTGTTTTAATAATCTTTTGTCATGCTTTAAATATGTACATCATTTTATGTGTTGACTAACAAACTAAAGCACATGTAAAATAAGTTTACCTGTAGTGTGACATTTGATATTACGTTTACAGTTAATGTTAACACTTTATTTTAAGGTGTCCTTGTTACACGTACTTACTATTATAATAACAATTAATTATGCATAATTACATGTAAATAACCTTAAGCCAAACCCTAATCCTATCCCTAACATATAGCAAGTACATGTAGTTAATTAATATTACTCAGTACCAGAGCATGTGAGCGGAGCGGAGGGGGAGCGGAGTGGTAATATTTCCTTAAGAGCGCAGAGCGCCTTTCTGAAGATTCCGCTCCGCTCGCTCAACCCAGAATGCCGTTTGGTGATTTGCTTGTTCCAGATCGAGAATAGTAGAGCAGTTATGCAGTTCAGATATTGTTTCAACGAAGTTGCAAGCCTTATACATAAATGTAAAGTAAAAAATCTAAGTTAAGAATGAGCAGGGAGAAGAAACTGAGAGGGAGTGCGGGGAGAGTTAGTAAAGATTCATATTGGAATCTGAAGCGGCACATTGCCAGAAAGCATCGCTCACATGCTCTGATCAGTACTTAAATGCATAATTACAGTATAACAAGGACACCTTAGAATAAAGTGTAACCCATTTAATATATTTTAAATACATTTGTAATTACAGATGTGTAATTAAGAATACATTCATAAGTTTTAATAGAAATTACATTAAAGCATATTTTAGTATACATTAAATGTATTAAAAACACATGAAAGTATATTTAACAAAAACAATTGGTGTACTTTTCAATCAGAAATTGCTCGTCCTGCTTTAGTACTCTTAAATTTAATTCATATAACCCCTTCAGACCCTGTGTCCATTGTAATGGACATCACATTAATTTTTTGTTTAAACCAATAATATTTTATGTTTTTATAATATGAGTAAAGCCTGGTCATTGATTGGTCCCTGATCAACCAATCACAATGAAGATATGACTCCTAACTTAATCTGATTGAGCTACAGGTTTCACAAAGACAGGCATGACTAACCAACAAGACAGGAAGAGGAGGAAGCCCGATTTTTACCTTTTATATACAGATTTATGTTCATGGTATCAACTTGCACCTATTATAAAATTAAGACTATCAAGTGATAATATTGAAAGTTATTTTGAAGATCTTTCAGAGTTGCAGAACACAGGATTTAAAAATAATAATAATTATCAGGTCTTGAAAGATTTCAGCAAGAACCTCATGAATTAGTTGTATGACAGGTTGAGAAATTTGTGGAAGTATTTCAAATCTAAAACACAGAGCCACAAATTCTAAAATTTATGTTAATTAATGAAATATTATTAATATGGATTTCATTTATATCTTCAAAGTGACCATAGCCTGTCACTGTCACTTTCATTGGTTTTACTGAGAAACAGCCATAGTGGATATGAGATCAATGAATACACAGCAACACACACTCTCAGAGGCCATGTCCACACGTACATGGGTATTTTTCCTTCTTCCATTTAAAAAAAAATTCTCCACATGAAAATGCAAACGCATGCTATGAAGCACTGTCAAGAGCATGCCAAACCAACAGGTGGCGATATAATCTCAACCGTATAGCCATGTTAGCCAAGAAAAAGTCTCCAGTAGGCGGAGATAACAGCGCAGGCGCCGACGTCACAAGCAAGAACTCTGGTTTTGCTGTCTACAGGATAACACTGCAACCGGAGTTTTTGAAAATCTTCACCCTGGCAGGCGTTTTCAAAAATGTTCAGTTTCAGTGACCTGCGTGTGGACGAACGGCCTAACCGCGTGTAAAAAGCTACGGTTTTAAAAATAACCGCGTTCGTGTGGACAGGGCCTCACATCCCCTCCACACACACTGATGACTTGATGATATAATGCACACAATCATCTATTCATCAAAACAACCAGCAAGTACACATAAACACTTTCACATACACACAAGACATATACAGATATACTCAGATTGACCCACTTCAACCATCAAAAGGGATCAAACAAGCTTTTCTGCAACTTCTTATCATCTTACCTATTTTCTACATTCTTATTGCATTGTTCATTCTTACAGGATGTGTTCTTTTCAAAATCTTAAAGACTAGTTCAACTCTAGTACACAAACTCTACTTCATAAGTATGGTTAAAATATGAGGATTTTTATGTTGCTTCACTCCTGGCCTCCATTGTAGTAGACATAAAAAAAAAAATAAAAAAAAAGATTTATCACAAATCTTGTTTTTTAGACTATATTGGAGAAGAGCAAATAACAAGTGGATAAAAAAATCGTTCAATGAAAAAATAGGTCTGAAAGGGATACATTTAAACTATAAAAACATTTTGTTTAATCGTAAGTGCATTCCATTCATATCACACTTATATTTTAAAGTGTATTAATTCTGTAATAAGCTCTTCATTTTCAAAAAGGAAAGCTTACATACATTAATTCTAATGTACTGTATGATCTAAACTTTGTGTGTACAGACCTACTTAGAATTGTGAATTTTTGTTCAGGTTTGAATTCATTCAGGATCCTGAGAATTGGCTTGCTATTAACCATGGAACTGGACAAATCACAGCCAGGAGATCCTTCAATATCCGGTCTCCCCACGTCAGGAACAACATTTACTCTGCAATTGTGAAAGTCATAGATCAGGGTGAGCACCTCAGACCTAAAGACCAAAATAATAACAGCAGAATAAAACAATTGTTACTGTGACTATACTGTCACAAAATAACAAGTGTGCCTTTGTTTGAATAAAAATGGTAATCATTCATATGATAACTCACTTTCCAGATGCTGGCGGAATCTCTGCAACAGCTACAATGGAGGTCAATCTGTGGGAGACCAATGATTACCCACCAGTGCTGATACCCTTGAGTGGGACTGTGTGCAGTGACAGGGACAGAGATAAACTGGGACTTCTGCTTAGTGCTGTGGATGAGGACATGTCCCCTCAAGCTGACCCCTTCACTTTTTACATTGCTGATCAAAATGTGGCTGCCAACTGGACCATCATAACTCTTAATGGTAAAACATTAACATAGACATGCATTAATATTTATATATTTGTACCCAGCTGAAAACCATCTTAAATTAGTATGAAAATCCATGGGTGCTGGTTTGGTGCAGGTACACCTGATGCACCAGCATAGCCATAGTTAGCTGGTGAAGCCAGTTAACCAGCATGGTTTTTCCAGGTGGAACTGGTCAGTCAAGTCTTGGATAATCAAGCTAGTTAAGAAGCCAAGTGCAGAATCAGACTGGTTTATGCTGGGTTGTTACTTGACTAGATGATTTTTATTGGTCTAACCTACTTGATGAAGCTAGAAACAAGAAATCTTGCTGATTAAGGAAGTTAAGAAGACTTAAGGAATTAATTGTACATCATACTTAAGTGAAAACCTTAATCAAACACACCTGAGCAAGTTTATCAAAGTCTTAGGATTACTAGAAAGGCGGGTGAGTTTCATCAAGGTTGGAGTTAACCTCTACAGGACAGTGGACCTCAAGCACCAGAGTTGAGAAACCTTGCTTTAAAACAAGGGTTGACAACCTTGCTCCTGGAAGGCGACCATCCTGCAGAATTTAACACTAACTTTGATCAAACTCACTTGCCCACACAGTGGTGGCCAAAATGATTATAACACTGGTATTTTCACCAGCTAAAAAATGGTTTTAAGTCAGTTATTTCTATCTTTTGTTGTAGTGTGTCAGTAGGAAATATCAGTTTTCATTTTCAAACATTCATTTTGCCATTGATTGTAATAATCCAGCGAGATTTTTGTTTGTACAAGGAGTCTGACAGCAGCCAGTGCTCCACAGAGAGATCTGATCTAATCATCATCCAGTCTGTCTGGAATGACATGAAGAAACAGAACAAACTGAGACGGACTCAATCCAGAAGAACTGTGGCAACATCTCCAAAATGCTAGAAGAAACCTACCTGCAAAGCTACAGTACTGTTAAAAGTTTTAGGCACTTGTGTAAAAATGCTGTAAAATGAGGATGCTATCAAAAATAATGTCATAAATAGCTTTTCTTTATCAATTGACTTTTCTTAACTAAATTAAATAAACATTTGGTGTGACCATCCTTTGCGTTTAAAGCAGCTTTTGCCCTCGGTGCACTTGCGCATAGTTTTTGCAGGTAGGTCTCTTGAAGCATCTTGGAGACATTGCCACAGTTCTTCTGGATTGAGTCCATCTCAGTTTGTTCTGTTTCTTAATGTCATTCCAGACAGACTGGATGATGATTAGATCAGATCTCTCTGTGGAGCACTGGCTGCTGTCAGACTCCTTGTGCAAACAAAAATCTCACTGGATTATTACAATCAATGGCAAAATGAACGTTTGGAAATGTAAACTGATATTTCCTATTGACACACTACAGCAAAAGATAGAAATTACTGACTTAAAACCATTTTTTAGCTGGTGAAAATACTAGTGTTCTAATAATTTTGGCCACCACTGTAGCTTTCTAGCAATCCTAAAGACCTTGATAGGCTTGTTGAGATTTATTTGAATAGAGTTGGAATAAAACTTTGCAGGAAAGTGGACCTCAAGAACCAGAGTTGAGAACCCCTGCTTTAGAGCAAGAGTAGCCCACCCGGCTCCTTGAAGGCTACCATCCTGCAGAGTTTAGCTTCAACCATAATCAAAAATATCTTTAGTTAATAAAGGTGTTCAGGATTACTTGAAAATAACAGGCAGTTATATAAACTGAAGTCTTCAGGAGGATAGGCAGACCTCCAGGAGCAGGGTTGGCTATCCCTGCTTTAGAGACTTAGTAGGGTTGGCTACCTCTGCTAAGACTCTTTGCTTTTGCTTCTGTCTCTTTACATGTACGTTACCAGAGACTCATGCGGTTCTCCAGCCACTGATAGACATAGAGAAAGGGGAATTCTTTATTCCTGTGGTCGCATCAGACTCTGGCTCTCCTTCCCTTTCCTCTGATGCTCTGGTCAACGTGACTGTGTGCCCCTGTGACAGTTTCGGTGACTGCAAGAGCTACACCGCAGCCATCTTTGAAACCAAAATGGGAATAAGTTTCATTGCCCTTATGATTATTATGGGATGCATTGCTCTTCTGTTGTGTAAGTAAACACTATATCTATATACTATATTTAACTATTTTATGCTATATCTAAGTGCATATGCAGAAGCTGTAGTATGTTGGTGGTAGATATACTTGAAATTCATCATAATAAAGCTTGTTTTTGTGTTTTCAGTACTGCTTGTTCTTGCTGTGGCGGTGAAGGGCTGCACAAGGCAGAACATTAGAAAAGAAGGAGGTCTGCTGGTCGGAGTGTCTGACGATGACATCCGAGACAATGTCTTTCACTATGATGAGCAGGGAGGAGGAGAAGAGGATGAAGTGAGAGCAATGACACAACATTTAATACATTTTACATGAGGATACAGTGTATTTTAACCTAGTAATTTTAAGAACGTGAATATTTAAAAAATATATTATGCAAAGACCATGCAATACCATAGATAAGAGCAGGTGTGGAGAGTGCAAGATGAACATACTACAATTTCTGCAGTATACAGTACATTTACTTTGCACAGAATGCATAAATTCCGTATATACACGGTAGAATACTCATGTGACCTACTACATTTGTCACACCAAAGATATTTTACACACCACTGGATTTACTTTTTTCAGATAAGTTGAAACTACTCTCTAAATGATATGCCTAGCCTACATGGTGTGGTGAGCTCAAATGCAGTAAGCAGCGGTATTCCATTCATCATGGGATGAGCATTGAACATAGCTCCTGTCTGAGTCGCAGACTTTGATTTATCCTGGGGATTTTTCTCATATGACACATGGATCCTACAGCAGCCTGATAGACTGGACAGATGTATAGGGCCTCCTGTCCCACACTAAATGCTTGCAAAATCATGGTGTTTTGGATGTTGGATTTATATCTGCTTTGAGGTGAAATGGTAAACTTCCTGAAATACCTAAAACTGTTTCTGTCCAATAGGATGCATTTAATATTGATTTTCTGAGGAACCCAAGTGACATGGTCCCTGCCCCAGCCTCATTTTTTCCACAAGACTGCAGCCTGCCCAGAGGAAAACAGCCTCTAAGGAAAGATGCACCTCATAACCTGCCTTCTCCTACATATCCACGCAAACCCCCAGGAGACCCGACCGACATAGAAGATTTCATCAATGTTGTAAGTGAGGTTTCTTTTATAGGAAATATCCTTCATATCTTCCGCAGCTGCCACATTCTTGTAAAAAAAAAAAAAAAATAACAAAAATAATTCACAGACTATTGGGCACAAGTCATTTTTATGGTGCATTTATTTGTCCTTTTTGACATGAGCTTGGTGTCCCATGGTTACTATATCCTTTAGTTGTATGGAAAACAGCAGCACAGAAATTCTTCTACATATATCCTTGTGTTTCAGTAGAAGAAAGTCATATTCCTTAAAAATAGATATTGAACAATCAATGCATTTTTAAAGACAGATGGACTAATAACATGATTTTTTAAAACTTGATCTTTTAAACAATTGTTCTTATCTCATTCTTTTTATACATGAATAGTATCTTGTGTAATATATGTGCTTGTAATACTATTTTTGCTTGCCTGCAGTTAATGTCAGTAAGTAAATCCAAGACATTTAAAGAGCCTTAATATTAGGAATAATAATAATTTTCATATGCAGCCAATTAACAAAGTTTGCCAAATTAATGATGCTTCAAATGTACATATTTTTTGCTTTCCCCTCAGGAACACAAGTTTTTCCTAATTACATAATGCCTATTGTAATTATTTTGTTAGTTTCGGTGTTTCTCAATTTTGAGATATTCTCAAAAATAGTTTTGTTTTTAATATTTATTTCATAAGAAAATGTGAAATGCTGTTATTATCTTTTCTTTTAGTTATAAATAAACGATTGGAACAATACCAGCCTGTATTTTCAGTAAAGAGAGACAGTTATTTAGTTTGCACTGGTAGTTTTGGCCAATTTCTATAAAAAAGACGAAATAATAATAAAAAAAAAAAAAACATTTAGTCATCTGACAAAAACACTATTTATGATTAATCAATCTGTAAAATAAAAAATCTTTAACATTCAACAATCAAAAATCAATTTTACTAATTTATTGCATATGGTGCAGAATATCCACTGACATCAAAAGATGACTTCAGACATACCACTGGCAATGCTCACCTGGTCTAACAAAACCAGCTTCTCAGGGAACTAACAGCTGATCTGTATGGCCTGGAAAGAAGCTCAAAAAGCACAACTACGGTTTTAAAAACAGTACATTTCGTGCAATTCTCAAAGGAGGTATCTACTACTCTCTAAGAGAGATCTAACTTATTGAGAAAAACACTTTGAATATTACAGTTTAATGCTTGATTGATGCTTGTTTGTTTTTGTTTTTTAATCAAACGTCCTAAGACATTTAAAATATAATTACTGGTCAATGATCAGCATAGAAGGTAAACCAAGTATGTTGCCATTATTTTTTCAATCAATCAGAGTGGGTCTAAACATTTAGTCATCTGACAAAAACACTATTTATGATTAATCAATCTGTAAAATAAAAAATCTTTAACATTCAACAATCAAAAATCAATTTTACTAATTTATTGCATATGGTGCAGAATATCCACTGACATCAAAAGATGACTTCAGACATACCACTGGCAATGCTCACCTGGTCTAACAAAACCAGCTTCTCAGGGAACTAACAGCTGATCTGTATGGCCTGGAAAGAAGCTCAAAAAGCACAACTACGGTTTTAAAAACAGTACATTTCGTGCAATTCTCAAAGGAGGTATCTACTACTCTCTAAGAGAGATCTAACTTATTGAGAAAAACACTTTGAATATTACAGTTTAATGCTTGATTGATGCTTGTTTGTTTTTGTTTTTTAATCAAACGTCCTAAGACATTTAAAATATAATTACTGGTCAATGATCAGCATAGAAGGTAAACCAAGTATGTTGCCATTATTTTTTCAGTCAATCAGAGTGGGTCTAACTGGAACATCAAAGGCAAGAAAAGCATTTTCCCCCCCTTAAAAGCACAATTTTGAAAATCAGACTGATCCTCAAACGCAGCCGCTCCACTCTTGGACTTTCAAGTGTGTCCATTAAAGACCGTGAATGTGATTGCGTGTGTTGCAGAGCTCACGCTGGGCTCAGGTTGATGTCATCATCTTTGTCTTTGCGGAGGCGTCTCTGGGGCCTGCGTGGCTCATCTTCACCAGTGTCCTGCTTGTCTCTTTCAGCCTCCACCCAGCTTTGAGGGGCAATCATCTTTTTGGGTCCAAATGGAGGTGGTCCCAGCAAAGCCTCAATGTCATCATAGTTGACCACCTCTCTCTCCAGCAGGGTATTAGCCAGCTGAAAACCGTAGCAAACAAGAGCAATGCAACAATTCCAAGAAGTAATAAAGGCTATGCTATGAGGATTTTCTACCTAACTTGCCGAAAGCTACATAAAGACAACAACAACGGATTGTTAAAGAGAAAATGGCCATTTTGGCATTTTTTCATCGATATATGTTTACATAAGCTGCAGTGACTACATCTAAAGCTATTTCAAAAACACTGAAGCGCTGTAACATAACATCAACAAGTGAAAATTATGAGAAAATGAGAAATTACTGAATCAGCTAAAATGATCTGGAGCCACATTCATGAGTAATCCATTTTTTTTTTAATTGTTAATTTCTAATTATTAATATATTATATTAATATATAGTTTTTTTAAATACATTATTTTTTTATATAATATTTTGTATTTCCTAAAACATTTCTTGAGAAATGTTATATTTTGTAACATAAAAAAACTAAATAGAATTCCTAAAAAAAGGTCTGTTGTTTTTTGGTTTGTCTGAATGTTTTGTTGTTTCGAATATTAACCATTAAGTACATAACACTAGTTACATATAATACATCACTATTATTAGGGTTGCACATAACTACTCTGAAGTGGCACCACTAATGTAAACAATGATCAGTTATGATTATGTGTGACTTTTGCCGAATTTGAAGTTTAGTAACAACTCTACAAAAACTAATCAAATAGAGTTCTCATTTTTAATTGTATAACTGAGGCATAATATTTGGCAGCATTCAACACTTATAATTTTGCCCATATACTAGACGAGTTCATGCTAGCAAAAATTTAAAATACATAGCACATAAAAAACAAACAAAAAAAACAACCTGTTAAACAAATTATTAATTCCTTTAAAGCCAATCATGATGGCTGCACGCTTATTATGATTATCTGCATGCGGCGCAAAAAGATGGCCTTTCAGAGTTGATCAGAGTGTTTTCAGCTAGAACCACCATACAATCAGGTATCACAAAGCCTGTCATTTTCTTCTTAAAGGACTCATCAGATGAAAATCTGACTTTTTCCGTGTTTAAAGGCTTTCTCTGCAAGCATGTGAGAAAATGAGCCGATCAGATTTCTTTCCCTTTCTTTTTATAATATTACTGCCCATTAATCTGCATATTTCCACCCACGGTGCTCAGCCGCCTTTGTTGTTTTCGCAAGCGACAGCGTTGTACTTGTTCTGATGCCATGGCAAAAGTTTGCAGAAAACATGCTAAATGTTCTGTCGTTGGCTGCACAGACGAACACAAGTCATTATTTAGAGTCCCAGCCTCAGAGGAGACAAGAGTCGATTTTTTTTTATTTTTAGTGGAAATCCCAGAAGGGGTGTGGGGTGTGCAGTAACTCATTATCATTTAAAGAGCCATACACCAAAAACGGGTTGGTGTGAGCAGAGCTGTTTTTGACAAGGCAAAAGGGTGTTGTTTACACAGCCATTGAGTGTTTTTTGCAAAACATGTTACAGACAATTAGAGATCAACCGATATATCGATTTACCAATATTTTTCCTGATATTTAAGCATTTTACCATAATCGGATATCGGTTTTGTAATATCGGATTCACCGATAAACGCCACCATCTTGTGGGTGCTTTGAGAATTGCACGCAGGATCACCATTGGAACACATCTGAGGGGAGACGAGACAACAACAACAACAACTGCGTGCAGGTACTTGATTTGCTGTAGTTAGTAAACTTTATTTAACATAACATTTATGCAGCTTGGCTCTAAGAAATAGAGACCAACTCACAGTCATGTAAAATAATCTGTCGAGTCCTGTCCCAATAAAGACGTAACTTTGCCTGAATTAAATAATATGCAGCCATGAATGAGCGCATGTTGGAAATAAAAGCGCTGATTTGAATTCTCTCTCTGTTGTCTAGATGCTCATCGTTAGTCTCGTGAAGTTAGAGTCACGTAGATAATCCGTCAAGATCCTCTCCCAATAAAGACGTAACTTTGCATGAGTTAAATAATACAGCCATGAATGAGCGCATGTTGGAAATAAACGCGCTGAATTTACTTCTCTCTGTGTTGTATATTTGCTCATCATTAGTCTCGCGAAGCCGCTTTTATATTGCCGTTCTCTCACTGGGTTGATGCGGTTGATGCTCAAGAAATGCTCCAGCACGGCCACCGCATGTAACTTTTAACAAGATTCACTTGTTTAAAAGACCCTAAATTGTATTAACATTTACTATATAACCATTATTTCGCTAATAAACATCTAAATAAATACAACTCTATGGAAATTAATTATTTATTATCTCCGCGAGCGATCGCAGTTTGCGTATAGTTTTGTGTACCTGCATAGATAAACCGCTCTGTCAGCAGACATTTCATAATCTAGAAGGACAAAAACATGATTAATAATTCTGATAACATTCCAGTTGAGAAATGCAATAAAATACGATGTTTTGTTTGTTATATTCCAATATTCCAGAGAACATTATTCAGTGAATTAACATTATCCAGTGAATTATTCTTGACTCTGTATCTATTAAACAGCTTTTAATTTAAACCTACTAAAACAGTAGTTTAAAATGAAGTTAATATGCCTCCTGTCCTTTATTTTCTCCATTTGAAAATATTAGACATTCTACATTTATTTTGCTTATTGTTAATATTAGTGTTGTTGCTGTTGATGCTTTTTATAAATAAAATGTTTTTTATTGCTGTAATATGAAGATTAAATTTAACATGATGGACTGCTAATTTTCAACACTTAAAAAGAAAAAGAAAAAAAAGATGACTGAAAAGAGGAAAAACCAAAGTGAATTACGTTCTTACTTCATTCTGTCATTTATTTACTTTATAACAGTAAATAAATATTGTTTATCGGGCACATAAACATGCAAATAATCGGTATCGGTTATAAAAAATCATTATCGGTCGATCACTATAGACAATTCATGAAGACCCTAATAAATCATGCCAACTTGTGGAAAATGTTCATCCGATGAGCCCTTTAAGAAAACAAAAAATCTTCTTAAGAATCTTCCTTAGAAGAATTTGAGAATGTTTCAAGAACTACAATTAGGAACATTCTTATGAACCTCTTTGAATTTATCTTTAGAAATGTCTTAACTTCTTTCTTAAGATTTTCATGAATATGGCCCCTGATTATCCTGCTATGCTAACAAGCTTGTGATAGACCTTACCAAAATAAGTTTGTCTCGATTGTCCAAAAGCAATTTCTCTGTGCGCCTGTAGGCTTGTGCTATAAGCTTCTTAGCTTCCTGATCATGAGAGAAAAGAACACAAATAAATATTCAGACACATATTCAAGACAACAAATATTTAACACCTACAGAAGACTCTGTAACATCACATCACCTATGCCACACCAGTATAGAACAAGCAGGAGGTTAGTATGTTCTTTCACTCACATGGTCCATCTGCTGTTGGAGTCCTTGGCTGAATGGTCTCCGTCCAATACCCCCCTGATCCTCAGAGTCAGGGAAGGACACCTGACCCACACTGGCAACCATGCCATACTGCTTCACCATGGAGTAGGCCACACGG